TGAATGCGTTATATATAACACTGTTACTGACACTGCAAAACACTCATCCTTACAAGCCACGGTGCAAGAATACTTTATAGGTGAGCGAACACCATGGAGCGATCGCTTGGCGGTGAGGGACCGATTATGCTCTTATTTGCAGCATGCCGATAGATGGCTCGCCGGACTGAAGACCGTAGCGGGCTGCTGGCAAATTCCACAAGGCACATTCGGCACATGGATGATGGTTTCCAAATTTAAGAAAACTGGGTTATCGCGCGATATCAACAAGGCGATACGCATAGAGCGGCACCCCTAAAGAGGGGGTGACGAGGGGGGAGCTATGGCACGGCGAGGTTGTTGTGGCGAAGATAAATGAGTGCCACCATTTTCTTACGTCACGGGAATTTTACCACACCTAAAGAGGAGGGGGGGGGGGAATGCCGGGGCAAAGTTCGTGGTGCCACCTCTCGGGCTTCTCGCGAAGCAGAACTTTATCGCGCAGCGGATAGTCCCGGCGTTCACTCACCTAATGTTTTTTTGCACCATGTTACAAGCCAACTTAAACTGCCTCCAGGAATGGTGCGAGCGCTGGCTCATGGAACTTAACACGAGTAAATGTGGAGTCGTTTCATTCCATTGCCGCCGCATGCCACTTGCGTATCCGTACGCAGTTAATGCCATCCCGCTAGAAAATGTTCCGTCATACAAGTACTTGGGCGTCACTCTTTGTAGCAATCGTTCATAGAACATACACGTCACTAATATCATTTCATCTGCAAATAAAACACAGGGTTTCCTTAAACGCCATTTACGCCTCGCTCCAGAACACGTAAAATTACAAGCATACGAATCCATCGTTCGATCTAAACTAGAATAGGCATCGCCAATTTGGGACCCTCGACAATCTTATCTTACACATGCCATCGAATCGCTTCAAAACCGGGCCGTTGGATTTATTCGCTGCTCATACTCTTCCACTGTTAGCGTATCTAGATTGAAAACAGAATCTGGTTTACCAGATCTAGAAATTCACCGTGGTATTGCAAGCCTTTCATTGTTTCACAAAATTTTTCATAGTCCCTTGCATGCCCCTTATATCGTTCACGCAACACGCATATCTCCCTGCACGAGCCATTTGCTTCAAGTTGCTCGGCCACGTTCCTGGACTTCTACTTTTTCTGCCTCGTTTTTTACGCGTACCGCACCCGGCTGGTGATGATTGATGATTAGTGGAGTTTATTGATGCAAGGGCCAGATATGGCCAAAGAGCGCCAGAGCGATGATAATGAACTGTGCGACGTGCAATGTGGATAAAACAGATGTGACCTATCTCTAAATGGGCCTAAAAAACGGACGCTGTAGGTGCGTGAAAATATACATATAGTAAAATTATGGCAATGACAAATGATGTGTGCTATGGAGACATAAAATGGTGTAAAAGTGATACGTACATGAAATAAAAACTTGGCATGGAGCACCAGTGCCTCGACAGATTCCTTAAAACAAGAGCATGGAGGCCTGGGCTCATTGAAAGCTGCTATCACAGGGGCATCCTCTGAACAGAGGATGCGCTATGAACCTGTTTGGCTGAAAACATTCAATGTTGGGCTAAAAACATTCAATACTAACACTTTTAAAAAGCTTAGAACTGATTTTGAATCAACAAGCGGCTCTTCGCCAAGAAACATAATTGGATGTAAAGGAAGATGATAAGGGTATGCTGAAGGAAAATATTTCTTTCTTTGTCTTTCAGCTTCCGGACACTCCAGGAGGACGTGGAGGACGGTTAGCCTGTCGCCACATCTACCACAAGTAGGAGGTTCATCGCCAGTCAGCAGAAAGCTATGGGTACCATAAGTGTGTCCTATACTGAGGCGACAGAATAGGACATCAGTTTGCCGTGTTCTCGTAGCGGAGGGCCAGTAAGCTAACTGCGGCTTAATCAAGTGAAGCTTATTATTTATTTCTGTGTCCCACAAGCGTTGCCATCGCCAGTGGCTTCGCAGTTTCTTACGTAGGAAGGGTTTTAGGTCTGTTGCAGGGACAGTAGCGGTGGGGTTAATAGCGCGCAATATAATTGACGCGGCCATTTGGTCAGCTAACACATTGCCCTCGATACTTCTATGGCCAGGTACCCAGCAAATAGTATCATGCTGGTTCGACATATACGCAGTACACAGGACGGAATACAACTCAATTATTACAGGATTTCTGAATTTAAAAAGTGATCCTAATGCATTTACGGTGCTTAATGAGTCTGTAAATATATAATTGATTTTTGTATCTTTGATTTCCGTCTATGCTTCATAGCCGACAATTGTGCATAACCCTCAGCCGTAAATATACTTGTTTCCGGGTGCACTACTCCTGATTCCGAGAAGGATGGCCCGACGGCTGCATAAGCCACCCCTGCATGCGACTTAGAAGCGTCGGTATGAAACTCTACGCACGAGTAGTTCGACTAGAGTGGTCGGAAATGCATTTTAATATGTGCTTCTGGTGCATGTTTAGTGGTCTCGACAAATGAGGTGTCACAGTGTATAAGCTGCCACTGCCACGGCGGTAAAAGTTTCGCTTTGGGCGTAGGACAAAGTTCTAGCACTGGAACACCCATTTCTTCACTTAAGTTTCTCACACGCAAAGAGAACCGCTTTCCCACTGCGGGTCGATTATGAAAGAGGGTGGCAGTGGTCATATCGTTTATAGTTGAATAAGAAGGATGCTTGATGTTTGCGCGTATGTGAAAGTATGTGAAACTGCTATAAGATCGCTGCAGGTGAAGTGACCACTGATTCGACTCTACACAGAGGCTGTGGATCGGACTTGTCCTGAAAGCACCGGTTGCAAGTCGGATACCCAGATGGTGAACGAAGTCTAGGATTTTTAATGCACTTGGCGTTGCGGAGGAATAAATTAAAGAGGCATAATCAAGGCGCGAGCCGGCAAGGCTTTTGTACAACATCAAGAGGCACACTCAAACACCAGACTGAAACGGCCTTCCCAGCGAAATTGCAACCATTCCCTGCCCATCATCGTTCACAGAAAATATCAATAAGCACTTTCTTTCTTAAATATTTGGCTTCTATGTTTTTCTTTATATTTACCCACCCCTTATGTAATACCCCTTGCGGGTCTTCAAGGAAATAAATGAAATAAAAATGAAATCTATTCACGTCCCGTAATACCGAATTTGGTATATGCGAAGCTAGTGAAACGGCTGCAAGCACATAATGAGCGTGCGATGTACTCATGTTGTTACATGACACGCATGTAATGATTTTCATTTTAGGGTCTGTCGCTTGTGTTCATCATGCAGTGATGTCTTATCATACCAGTTTTGCAACATGTCATGTGAAGGAAACCGCCGCAAGAGCAGCAAGATAATGAAATGTAAATAATGAAATTCATAACATACATATAAGGATTTTCATTTTATATTTTAGTCACTTATGCTCATAATACAGTCATGTTATGCCATACTGATTTCGGTATCAATAACATTATCGAAATGGCCAGGAGAGATAAAGGTCGTAAGTGGCTAGATAGATAGGTACGCTCAATGGTGCCAAAATTCGCTAAGAAATGCTTTGCATTTAAAAAGAAAACATATCCTTGCTGCTAAATACCAGCTTTCTGATTTGAAATAATTCTGTGCAAAAGTAGCTGAATGATTAGAGTATTTTGCAAAGCTTAACTACGTCAAGCCGCCGTAGGAAAGTTTCCGAAAGCATCATAACTTCAAAAGCGGTGGGTTCACAATTTAAAAGCGGTGGGTTTTAGTTCTCCCTGTGAATGGTTCAAGCATCGCGGAGTGACAGCTAGGCATTCCTTTTTTACAGCATGTAGTACAATACGTGGTATCTTAAATTGTGTTCGCTGTTTTCAAAAATGTGCAGTAACGTTCACACATATAACATTCAGTAAAGTAAAAAGTTGGGCGAGTTGGTGCTGGTTCATGATGATACGGGGCGCGAAAAAACGACACACAACAGCGAAGAAGTACACGGGACGACGCGCTACTAGCAACGAGTTGTTAGTAGCGCGTCGTCCCGTGTACTTCTTCGCTGTTGTGTGTCGTTTTTTCGCGCCCCGTATCATCATATAACATTGACGACAGGCGATAAACTCATTTCACCGATGTGTTCTATAGTCCTGTACAATGTCTTTAATATCGGGCTCGTTCCTTCCTAAGCACGCAACACAGCACTATAATTACTGTTTCGTATTTTACAAACTTAGGTGTGTCTGATTACAAAAGATGGCTGTGAAGTAGTATCGTTCTAATCCGTTCTCCTTACGAGCCCCCTAAAAAAGCCATCATTAACACTAAACATAGACCACAAAATTAGGTGCCTGTAGCTAGTGTTGCAACTATCGGTGAAGAATCAGGCGCAGAAGGAGTTCGTGGTGGCCTGACCCGCCATGGTGGTCTAGCTGATAAGGCATTCGGCCGTTCACCCGCGCGTTGCTGGGCCGAATTCCCGCCATGGCAGTCGCATTTTCGATGGAGGCGAAAAAACTTGAGGTCCGCATGCTCAGGGTTTTAAGGCGCACGTTAAAAAACCCCAGGTTGTCAGAGTTCCCGGAGCCGTCCACTACGACATCCCTCGTAAACATATATAATTTTAGAGGCGTTAAACATCCAACAAATATTATATTGAAAGCATGATGACCGTAATAGATTTTGTCGGAAGCAAAACGGAAGCTTTGCGAAACACAATTTCATCACTGCCGTCGCTCTAAAGATGCCAATAACCAAATAGAAGAGAAAACAATGGCTGTTAGGGTCTTTATCTTTTACATTTAAGAGTGAACGGCACGCAAGCGGGAAGCTCCACGACGAGGAACTTGGCCAGATATTTTAGGTATGGCGTGTTTCATAGAGGTTCATAAGGTGGCTACTTTGTAAGCTGACTCGAGTTAGCGGAAGTCACAAATGTCTTTCGGTGAACGGTTTTGATGGCATCAGTTAAAAGAACTGAGTCGAAGTCACTGCTGATCGCAACAAACTATGAGACTTATTTTCCTACTTCGACAGATAATTGTTTTTATTTTTACAAATTTATTTTATTGTTAGGGACTCAAGCTTGTCTACAGGATAGTCACTCGCTATCTCCGCTGGCACAGAGTTTCATCCAGATGAATTGGTATATGTAGGCGCCTTGCTTCTTACTTTCAACAAGACGAGCCAGGTACCATGTGAGACAGCCATCATAAGTAAATTGGTCTTAGTCTTCTATATGACCTTCATCTTCGGCAAGCAAAGTACCTTTGCGCAGAAAATGCAAAGCAGACATCAATGTTAGTTTTGTATAAACAGCATGTGCCTAGCATGTTGTTAAGAAACATGAAAATAACTATCAGCGTGTGAATTCTGGGTCACCTTAAGGACTTTGAAAAAAAAAAGTTCACAATTAGAATGACTGTTGAGTGGCAATAGAGCCCATGATGATTGACTAGAATCCAGAAAATGATTGACTCGAATTCAGAAGTTACTGATACCTGTTGATAAATGGCTGAATTTCTTTGTTCTTCTTCCCTCATTATTTTTTTTCATTTTTATATGCAACAAATAATGGAATGTAGGCTAAGTGAAAGTGGGCTATCACTGCATCATTTTTATTGATATGTAAAATGCGCACAAATATAAAAAATGATGCATAAAAACATAGTTGGAAGCACCGCGTATATAAAATTATCTACAATAAAAATACAGGGCGTATGACATGTCAGTTGATGTCACTCCCCTTATTGTCGCCTCCAGTGAAGTGCAGGCAGTCAGGTGCTCTTCTAGTTAACTTTATGTGCGTTTGCTAATTTCTTGTTCCAACTTCCTGGCTTTATTTGGGTCTACCAATTTATGCTGTTTTAATTGAACGTTTGTAGTGTGCCGCTACTAAAACGCTTTAGATCATAAACAAAATATTCGGTGTAACACAACCGTAAGCCTGCGCAAAACCTTCAGCACACTCACAGCAAAACCTAGAAAAACTTGGCAGATCCACGTACCTTGGGAACTAATGTTATTCGAAGCTGATGATGAGAGCTGAATGTGTTTATTTTTTCTATTAAAAGAGCTGTTATGAAGTGACACTATACATATGTACAAATCAACGCACACACGTACGTTAAACCACCGCGTATGTTTTTTATTAGCTATAGTTACGCGCTAATGCCAAAAACCAACATGGCAATACCAGATGCCGTAAGCTGGTATGAAGCCTTAGTGTTTGCGCTGGTGCGCCGAGGATAGTAGCCCTGAATGCTGCTACACAAACAAACTTCTACTGATGGCACCTAACTAAAGTTTGCGTTAACCCAGCATGACGGCTGTATTCTAGGAGTACATTGTAATGTAAATAATATCGGATAGCGAGAAGTGCAAAAACAGTTGACGTTATACAAATGCTAGAGTCTATTTGAATAGTGTATCCGAGTCGTTGCATGGCTCTGTGCTAGAATGCATCATTGCCATGCAGAATGCGGGGCATTATTTTCTACTGGGACAATTGAATTTAGCGCTTGTATTCTTCCGGCCAACGCTGCCCTCTGGTATATGCCACTGTTTTTTCGGAAAGTGTTCGATGACCTACGCGACGAGATTGTAACATTCTACAGGTAATAACCAGCTAGTCGTATTCGAAAAAGCCTCTTTAACGCCTATACTAATTTTGGGGTAACCCAAGGTGAGGGAGTGATCATGAGAGCACCCGGACATAGGCGGCTAGATAAATAGAATAGAATAGATAGATAGATAGATAGATAGAAAGATAAATTGATAGATAGATAGATAGTAGATAGATAGATAGATAGATAGATAGATAGATAGATAGATAGATAGATAGATAGATAGATAGATAGATAGATATATAGATAGATAGATAGATAATCTTGCAGCACGCAAAGAAAAGCTTCGCGTTTGAAAACGGTTTCTGGAGCCTTTTCAGACACTCTTGGGGCAACTACAAAAAAAAATTGCATGGTTGTCATTATAATGTAAATTATGCTAATATCTGAGCAGTGGGGAAGCAACCACTAGTCCATCATTAGTCATTCTGCAGAAAAAATGTCGCACTTGCTACGAGCTTTAAAGCATAATGTGCACCTTGTTGATTATGTGCACCTTGTATATGCTGTGGCTCAAGACGAAGCAGAAATTATACCTGAAGCTTTTGTAATGCGATGCGCATTGTACGACCCACTTGGTACGCAATTCTTGTTGTGTCCCATCTCCTTGCTATTGAACTGTTCTAAATCACTTATTTACTCAAGTTAACGCGATTCCTTTCCCGACCAAATTCCTGCGTAAGGTCAGTTTGCAACGAGATTTCTTTTCCGGCACGCACATACTAAAACAAACATTGTAGCGGAGTGGTCTATATATAGTACTAGAATGCCACACGGTGGGCCTGTGGTTGATTCCCATTCTGTCCTCGTTATTTTGTAATTACTTACCTTTAATATATTACGTAATATATTGCGTGAACAGCTCTCGCTGTAAAAAAGATGCATATCTTGTGCTTGCGCCATATGACCTAGATGCAAGACATCGTAACCCGGTATTTCACAATAATGTTTTCTCATGCTTGTGTTTTAGCGTTAACAAAATAATTCTACAAAAATAAATTGAAAAAAAAACCTACTCAGTATTAACGTCACACTTCTATCTTAAGACCGAGCTACAATATCGTCAAAGGAATAAATAAAATTCCAGATCCTTTTGCCAATATTTGAACATCAGAGCAAAGTGAATACGAGAGGCAAGAACTTACGTTAAGAAACATGCCAGGTACGCTTTATCTATATGCCACTGTGGGCCATTCAGAAAAGGTTTAAAACTGAGAAGGCTATAAAGCTTCCACATATTTATTTTCCGTATGTATACAAAGTTGGGAATTAAAGCAAACCCAGTGCTCCATGAATTCCTCACCATACGTCATAATGCCGAAAGTCAATAATGCAACCAGCAGACATCTGGGATCCATCGCAATGCTCTACGAAGACCTGCCAACATTGAAAATCATTAGAACTGCGTCTGCGTAGCCACAAGTCTGAAAGTGTTTCTGACAGACAGAAAGTTTATGTGTTAGTGAGAGATAGTTTCACTAACGTGTTGAATGGCAGAAGTGAAATTTTCGTACAATCAACTGAACACTACTTAGACAATTCTGCATCCCCAAATTTATCTATCTATCTATCTATCTATCTATCTATCTATCTATCTATCTATCTATCTACCTATCTATCTATCTATCTATCTATCTATCTATCTATCTATCTATCTATCTATCTATCTATCTATCTATTTTTACCTATCGACTTATCAATTATAGTACCTGAGCTTCGTAAACGTCACAAAAAATATAAAAGCCCTAGGCAGCGCAAGCTCACAGTTATTGAAGGCTGTGTGTGCTGAAAGCTAATTCTGGTAATTGTAAAGCTAATGTGTATCCCAGCCGCCTATCACCCCACCACGGCGGTCCAGTTGCTAAGGTACTCGGCTGCTGACCCGCAGGATGCGGGATCAAATCCCGGCTGCGGCGGCTGCATATTCAATGGATTTTCGGCAGCAGCATTTTCGAAAATGCTGGCGGCTGCATTTCCGATGGAGGCGGAAATGTTGTAGGCCCGTGTGCTCAGATTTGGGTGCACGTTAAAGAACCCCAGGTGGTCTAAATTTCCGGAGCCCTCCACTACGGCGTCTCTCATAATCATATAGTGGTTTTGGACGTTAAACCCCACATATCAATTTTCGAAAATGCTGTAGGTCAGTGTGGTCAGATTTGGGTGCACGTTAGAGAACACCAGGTGGTCGAAAATTCCGAAGTCCTCCACTACGGCGTCTCTCATAGTCATATGGTGGTTTTGGCACGTTAAACCCCGCACGTCAATCATCAGTCAGGAGCCGCCTATCAACAGACGAGAACCTCCATGGTCAGGTTAGTACAACAGATACGAAGTAAATTATATCAAGGGCTGGCCCATCGGCATTGTATAGAAAGCTAATCACGAAGGATACTTTATGTTCTAGAAAAACAGAATTGGAAATCTTTCTCAAGCGTGCCTGAGTAATATTTCGGTAAACGAACAAAGGGTTCCTTTACTTGCAACAATTGATGTTTCATATTATTATTCTAAAGCTTCAGTCTTAGCGTTACCTCAACAATATATACATCGGAGTGTGAAGACCAGTTTTAATTTCATTGTACAGAATGAGGTCGATGTCGCAGAATTAAAAAGCTCACTTTATGCACAATAACATCATCGACACGCGGTTTAACTGTATGAAGGCACTAGTAAGTTATTAATTGGAATAATATGGTACATACGATCAGTGATAAATAGGAAAAATGTATTCTGCGCATTGATATTTTTGATGTGTACCCGTGGACCCGGGTTTCTTGTTTCGCTGCTTAGCTGCGTCTGTTTCTGCAATCATGTCATCTGTTTAGGACGTGTTCAAAGCTCTGCAATGAAGAGACCATTTGCAAGCTTAGTGTGTTACGGGTGAGCCTCTTGAACTCTTCTCAAACGTTTAGATATTTCGCGTAAACTTTTATTATGTGTGAACTTTACTTGTAGATAATGGCGTTGGAATTTAGATAGTGTTACTACAATTAGAATTTCCAATTGTGCATGCGTATATAAGTAGTCTTTTTCAATTGTGGACAACTTTTCTATGAACGCTAGTACGTAATAGGAGGAGTACCCGAAAGTGCATACCAGTCACTATATAAATAAATATTAAGCAAATGGGGGCCTTTCAAATACTGCAATCCGGTTACTTTGTACCTGACATCTGTAGGCGAAAAACAAACATTGTGCTTTCAGAATCAACACACTCACGTTTAACCTACTAAATATTTGTTTATTTATTTCTTTACACGTCCTAAATTGCAACAGACAATCAGAGGTGGCAGAGCTGTCGAACGTATTCAAAACGTGTAAGGTAACGAGCATAGGAAGATTTTACACGGAGAGAATCGACCATGCTGCAGAGAGTAGATGGAGCCTAAATGCTGTGAAGGCAAGACTGTGCATAGGCGAAAACCAGATGTGTGCATTAAGAAATAGGGAAGAGAATGTCACAATCAATACGGATAGGATAGTAGATATAGCGGAGGACTTTCGGACAGGTTTGTAGAGCAGTCAAGACAACCTGGATGATATTGTTAGACGCAGTAATAGCCCAGGCAGAGGTACATAACATCCCACCAGTAACAACAGGAGAAGTAAGAAGAGGCCTAAAGAGAACGCAAAGGAGAGCTGCAAGTAAGCAAATGTAACAATAGGCCGGTTGAAATGAGGTGAAGATGGTGTTATGAAAACAGGCAACCCTGTATACGAAGTGTCTCTTCTTGGGTAGCAGAATCTCAGAAAAATGTCCACCTCGTTTCAATTTATAGGAAAAGGGACGTCAAAGACTTCGAAAATTACAGGCCGAGAAGCTTACTGTTCGTTCTCAACAGGCTACTTGCAAAAATAAAAATTAATCGTATGAAGACGACATGATAGTTCCGTGAACCAAAGGACGAAGCAGGATTTCGTACAGGCTACTCCACAAGAGACCATAAACTTTTTCCTTCTGTTCTTCTAATCCTCCTCCTCCTACTCTTCTTACTATCATTGAGGTGGTAGAGAAATGCGCAGAATACAACCCGCTCCCATACATAGCCTTTATAGATTACGAGAAGGCATTAGATTCGGCGGAGGTATGAGCAGTCATAGAGGCACTGCGAGATCGGGGCATCAATGAAGCTTATCGACTGCGAATCCACATCTACAATAGTCCTAAGCAAAGAAGCCGACATTTTTTCAGTGAAGCAGGCTCTTAGGTAGGAAGACGCACTCTCTGCGTAGCTCGTCACCATGTATTTACAGAAGTTTTGCAGGGCCCTAGATGGAGAAGAGTTAGGGATGAGACTCGATAGAGAGTACCTTAATCACCTTTGATTGGCTCTTGACATTGCATTGGTGAGAAACTCAGGAGGACAGATTGGAAGCCATGGTTACTTGACTGGACACGAAAACCAAAAGAATAGGATAATACATATTATGCATAAAAAATGTAATCTGCAAGTCTCGGCAGAGAATAGCGCTTTGCGATAGGCGGCGCGACACTGGAAGGCGTAAAAGAATATGTCTACTTAGAAGTTAGAAGAGGTAGTAACCGCGGGTCAAACCATGAGAGTGAAACAACTAGAAGACTGAGGATGAGGTGGAGTATAATCAGTAAGTATTCTGAAATTATGAATCTGTTTCTGCAATTATGTCATCTGTTTTTGAAGTTTTGAAAGTTACGCAATCAGGAGACAATTTGCAGGCTCAGCGTCTTAAGCGTGAGAATCTGGATGAGCTTTTCTCTAACGTTTAGATATTTCGCGTAAATTGTTTATTATGTGCGAACTCTACATTTACAATATAGCATTGGCATTTATATACTATTGCAAGCACTAGGTCTGTGAACGTGCGATCTACCGCTATACCTCAAAACGAGGGCATAGAGGTTGCCCCGCCACGGTGGTCTAGTGAATAAGGTACTCGGCGTCTGACCCGCCGGTCACGGGATCGAACCCCGCCTGCAGCGGCTGCATTTTCTATGGAGGTGAAAATGCTGTAGGCCTGTGTGCTCTGATTTGGGTGCATGTTAAATAACCGCAGGTGGTCGAAATTTCCGGAGCCCTTAACTACGGCGTCTCTCATACTTATACGGTGGTTTTGGGACGTTAAGCCCCACATATATTTCAATGAGGGTATAGAGGTTGTTTAAAAAAATGTGCCGAAGTTATTGAAAAAATACAAAAAGGAGGCTTCTGAGTACTACATGCGGCGATGGCTTTAGTGTGAAACAAGGCAACAATAATTATGGCGGAACTCATATAAATTAAAACAATTGCCTTTTAATTCAGTGGTAATAAGCGATCAAGTACGATGCGCGAACTTAAGTCCTTCCTACGAATAATGCCTAGAAACACTGATTTTAAAACGTGCCCACTGGTAAACTCCGCAAAGCGATGAAATTCGGCAAATATAGCAACCAAAAACAAGACCGACGCACCAAACAGCTCAACTGCCATTCTCTCCGAAAACACGCCAAGATACGACACAGCCTCCCTTGCCTTTATCAACCGTCAATCTAGACACATCGCTTCATGGGAGCCATAGAGAATCCTCAAATTCACTAGCGGAGACTCTGGCACTGCGATTATTCAGTGACCATGGGGATGATCGGTAGTACATAGATTTGCCTAGTCTTCGTGCTTGAAGGCTGCAGTAAAGGAAGCCACACAGTTGTGGCTTCGTTTACTGCAGTGTTTAGGTTTTGTTTAAAAAAAACCACACGAACCTATCGTTTTCATCTTCGTGAGCCGATTCAAACGGGTGAGCCTAAAAAAGTGTAGTGGTGAAGCGTAACTCATCAAATATTGCTGATTGTTGTTTCATAACGAGACAGCTTCAATTCTTGCGAATTCCAATAGAACTTAAAGTACGAAAATGCACAAATCAGTGTATAAACCACAATTCATATGCTCGCTGAAGCCCCATGCGTTCAAGCTCCCATAGACACGAGCGCTAGTGTTCCCTCTAGTTTATTCATATGAAACTTTATGTTGGCCGCTTATCTGCTCTCGCTTATCGTCCTCCCCAATGCTAGGACACAGTGTCGTCATTGACCGTGTTTTGGAAGTGAATGGTAGAATCGCTATCTGGTGCATCGGTTTCGGTTTCGCTTGCTATTCACCAAACCTCATCGCTCCGTGGTGGTTATTAGGGGCCGCTTTTCGAAAATGTCAAAGTGACTATTGAATATTCAGAGGAAGGGTTTGCATTCGCCCATTCGACTCGATCGGCTATTTCCACTGGTTAAAAGGTAATTGTTTTAATTTCCATAGTTATAACCGTAACCAATGCTAGTGCACATCTGAATATGCCTTCTTCTGCAGTAACTAGACCGCCTCGGGTAGCATTCAAATGCCTCCATTCTGCAAGATTTAAATATGATCGG